CTCTCTCCATTTACCTTTTCCGAGACCCTTCTGGTCCCAGAGCACAATGGTTTTCTTTTTCACTGACTCTTTAGTTTCTCCATATAACATTGACCTTTTAGGGTAATGGGGGGGTTCTTATTGAATTTTGCTGTCTGTTTTTGAGGTGAACGTTCTTCATCTTTTGACTTCCTGCTGTATTTTCCATAAACATATTAGAAATCTTCTTATTGAAGGTCTGGATAGTATTTCGAAATATTCATGGCGTTCACCCTCACCATCTTTAAAGTCAGAAGCACACTATACTAAATATTTGAAGTTTAAAAAGATCAAATCTATTCCAAGATTATGTTCTATATATATATATATATATATATATATATATACATATGTCGGCCTCTTTAATGTTTTAAAGGTATAGAGTATGCAAAATGTAGCACGCAAGTTGAAATAACTATGTTTTAATTATGTAAACAGAAAACTTAAAACAGGAGATGGAATATGGAAGAAAAATGAATTTGTGTACCGAGGAGAGAGTGGAGAATGACCTTCAATGCAGGTATCAGGGGATTAGGAGCGGCTATGATGAAAATGAATAATTAACAACAAGCTAGTTAAAACTATGGACCAAATAAAACACTCCAAATAAACAAAGTTCTTGGACTGATATAACTCCATAAAAATAAAAGACAAAGAACTCAGAAGATTACTTTCTCAGCATTCATACCTATTCTTTTTTTCTGTGTTTCTTCGTCGTCATTGTGCTGTTTTTTCACTAATGTTCCCTGACAAACCTTTGAGGCCTTCATAGATCAGTTGCATTTATACTTAGGCTAAATCACATCCAGCTGAACTCCATTTATTAATTTGAATTTATTTGCACCACATATTTTTGCAATGTTTATCAGGGTCTGTTTTTTCCTTCTCCACCCCTGAACCCCATTGAGCCTCATAGCTTCTCCCACAAAGCCTGGTTCTGTTGAAGTTTCTTTCTTTTAACAGAGTATTGTTTTTACTGCTGTTAAATGCCAGTTCATGGTGAGAAAAACTGCTGCAGAATTCTTAACGCCATACTGTCAGGTGGACTTCCCAAACCTGTTTAACAACTGGTGTTTTGCGGTCAACCTGTTTGCCTGTAACACATCATAATTCAGACTGAATAGAACTGCATGTAATTTGACTAAATTGATCATTTTAGAATTGGAATAATTTGAATTGATCAGATCAGTGTTCTTTTCTTTTACAGACATAACTTGGTCTGTATTTCTATTTGTTTAGGCATTTAGTTAAAAATATCTATTAGCCTAACAAATCAGTTACCAAAGCCTGCTTCGAACCTACCTGCTGTCACATCAGGAAATCAGCTGATGAAAATTTCTCCTTCATGATTAATCATCTAAGCTGTAACAGGAAAAATGGAACTGGTTTGTGAAGATAAACAAGGCGGACTTGAATGGCTGCTTTTCACGGAAGATCTGCCAGGATTTTTTTGAGTCGTGTTTTTTATATGAAGGTTTTACAGCAACATTTCCTGCTGTGACCTGCAGACATTTGAAGTACACACCATACTGCTGACAAAGATGACCAGGCGATAGATTCCTGATGAGCCTAGCCGTATTCGATAGTCACAACATGCCTACACCTGTGGTACAGCTTTTTTGATGTTATCATCATTCCAGTCCACATTGAAGAGAGAAAGGAAGCGAAAAGCCATGTCCCTGTGGAGATAGAAAGGCAGACATTCAGGGGGTAAGTGACTTTATCTGTCATCTCTCATCTTTTTAGTACATTTTACAAATGTTCTTTCCATGCCGATGATCTGGTATTTAATAATATATTGTATACTCAAGATGCACTTACTAATACTGTTATTAAAAAATAAATAATTAAGAAAAGACAAGTTTTTTTCTGTTATCTTAGAAATTATTAGGTACTGATGATATTTTGTTTTGTCACTGTATAAATAAGGTGGAACAAACAGAATGTTCTTTATTAAAGGAGAAGTACGGTCCGAATTCAAACTTCTGAAAGTACTTTAAATATGAAATCATTACATACTCTTCAATAAATGACAAGTGTTTTTATTAAGAGTAAATTAATTTGAAGGCGGGGAGAATGGCGCTAGGCTTACCGCACCGTGACATCACTGCCGGAAGGTGTCAGGAGTGAGGTGTAGGGCAAAAATGGCCGGTCTCGGACTCAGTGATCACGACGAAAACTATTGTTTTTATTTTTTACTGCTTAAAACTAAATTCATTAAATCAATGCAAAGGTATTAGTTTTAGGTATAAATAATGATCCGCTGATCATTCCTTGCTGCCCGGACTTTGCCTTTAAGTCCAGGTTACTTTTAACAACTCTTGAAACCAATTACAAAAGAATAGTGAGTTCTGCATATACATCTTTTAAGTTACTTTCACAAAAAACAAAACAAAAAAAAGCAGTTGGTTTAGTGAGTCCACAACTGAACTTGATTAGCCCGGCTAACTTTAAAGATCAGCCCATTAAACTCCAAAATGACTCACAAAATTGTTTTTATATTATACTGAACTATAGCTCAGCATAGTAAAATATTTAGCATAAGACGTATTACACTATTAAAACTCACGGAGTTAGGGTTAGTGGTTTTCTTAAACTGTTTATTAATGTCATGTGTTATGCAAAATGGTACCAGTGGGTCAGACTGTATTATGATACGACAACAGAAGGACACCACTGACTATAAGAGTAATCTTACTCATGGTGATGCAGCACTGGCCACACAGAGTGAGAGTTGAGAAGCAATAGGAGCCGGTTTCAATGCAGTCTATGCAGTCTACAGTTGAAGTAAATCAAGGCGTATTTAAAGGTCCTGCAGCACATCTTGAAACATCTGAGCATCTGAGGCACATGACGCTCTTCATAAGCAGCTGATGCTGAAGTTGGAAAATGTAAACTTTTGCTGCTCAATGCGCAACATTAACCAATCAGACAAGCTGATCTGGGAGCTGGAAGAGACGGACACAGTGCTGCTGATGCAGAACTGTCAGCAGGTTTACATAAAAGGCAAGGAGGATGTTTTTGTTTCATGTAAAAAGAAAAGTGAGTGCTATGATCACTCCACTTAAATAGTTTATTAATGCATAAATTAAGTTATGTCGATACCTGCCAGAAAATTACGTTCGATTTTAATGTTCTGTTGTCATTCCTGAAAACAGCTTACATCCACTTACAGCCAGGTAGCTGGCTGAAAGAAAGAAAATTACTAAATTCATATTACTAATTCAACTAACACAAAACTAAAACATGTAATAATTAATAAAAAAAAAGATAATTCAGTAGAACAAAATATAGAATTTTTGTTTAAAAAAATTATACTTTAAAACAAACTTTTCCACAAAAATCAAAGCACCTTGTAAACAGTGAACCAACAAATCTGTCAACAGGTGCAGAAGTCTGACAGAACATTACAGAAAACACCTGATTGGACTGATTGCGTAAAAGTATTAAGGAGCTCCATCAAGCTTGTTTACTTGTTGTATTTGTTAATCTTTGTATAAATATGTAATTCTGTTGAACCTCAATTCAAAATCATGATTCCAATTTTCCAAACTTTTAGAACTTTTGTCATTTTCAATTTATTTTATACTTATACTTATTTTCACCTTCAAATGTATATATTTCAATTTTATAAACTGGCTTCTTTTACACAAAACATGCAGGCTTGAGGAACCACTTACTAACTTTAAGAGAAAGGTAAATATAAACTAAAAGAAAAAAAATATTTTAGAGTACACATTGTTAAAAAATACTTATCTGTATGTATAAACATAGTTTGTGTAAAATGATAAAAGAATGTTAAAGAAAAAACATTCTCACATGGCGCCAGTGAGATCCCAGTTCTCTTTGATGAATAGGTAGTTCTTCTACAAAGACAAAAAAAAAAAAATCTTAATCAATGTACAAACACCTAAATGTATAAAATAAGTTGGATAAGATTAGTTTTCTTTAATTTTACATTTTATGATTTGGTCTCTTGTGATTATTGTGACTGGAAAGCAACAGGAGATTTTAAGACAACATCTAAAAAATGGTGAAATCTGCTGCAAGAAAAATAAAGTACACTTTCATGGTAGAATATTAAGAAAACTTAGACTTAGAGACTTAGACTTAGATTTATTTCATCTTGCATACACGAATGTAAACAAAAAGAAATTTCATTTAAAACATGCCTTTAAGATAAATACTGCTAAAAAATATTAAACCTACGTGATTCTACAGGTCATCAGAAAAGAAGGAAACAGTCTATAATTTTAACTGCGGAGGAATATTTTAAAGTAAACTAAGATGCGTCTAATCTTACAGAAACTTTTATTTGTGTTGATTTGCATGCAATTATATTCAATATATATATATTATAATATATAATATTATAATATATATATATCTCAGTGAGATTCTTCTCCAGTTTGTGGAATCATTGGCGCTTTAGTTTATATGTCAGTGATTGATTATTTTATTATATATATATATATATATATATATATA